AATTGGGCATTGACAATCCGCTAAGGTTAGTATGTGTTATGTTGACTCAAGCGTGAGTATGACAAGTCTCAAGTCATTTAGTGTTGGACACTAAGACAAACACATAGGTGCTCGAAAAAGTAATCGAGTGCACTGAACAACGATCAAAAGAGAGTTCAAACATACATGTCATGTAAGAACTCGATAGTTGCAATATGCAAAGTAGTCCTTTGACCTGAGGCATCATAGATGTCTAATGGTTAGGTCCTTGATCTTTGATCATGTTAAATGGCATTCCATTGGAGTGTCCACGGCATTGTTGGGATCAAGCTATCTAGTCATGTAGGCATATGAATGCACAACAAGGGATCTCTAACCTTCTATGGTGGAAGGAGAATACTCTAAGATATGATTCGTGAGTCTTTGGCCAAAGCATATGAATATGACTTAGGAAATTTGTTCCAAATCATATTCAATCGAATCATATAAAGAAGTATCACATTGGATAGTAGACATGAAACAAACTATCACTCAAACAATGTGATTAAGAGTATTGTATTAGAGAAGGACCGTATTGCATTGTAGTTGTAACTGGATAGGTTCTCCAACCACTTCTACTTAGCTTGGGTAACCATGATATGCTGCTAGGTGTCACTCATTGTTTGTGGAAGCCTTGAAGATTAGCCAACACTAATCAAAGGGAGAATTGAAATGTTGTTTCAATTCACAATCAATCGTTAAGAGTAACAATCGCCCACTGCCTCGCTAATTGGAACCTAATGGATCGTACACCGAGTAAGGGTGAAAGTGAAGAAATATAAATGAGATGGATAAGCAATTAAATGGTTTAATTGAGAATGGTCAAGATTAATTAATTAGTTAATTGATTTTACGAAAGGTTCGTATTGGGCTTTTAAGTTGGTTTTGGGCTTCGGGGCTCAAAAGCGTTTTGGTCCACAAGGCTCATTATGTTTAAGTTGTATGACAACTAAAACAAAATGGGCAATTAGCCCAATAACAAAGGTAAGGCCGGCCATAAGGGTGAGGGTAGCAAACTTGGATTAATTACAAGTTTGCCACTCACTTGAAATGAAGTATAAAATCAACTTTATAGCTTTATTTCTCATTAGGGTTTTTCTTGGTGAAATGAGGTGAAACACTTTCTCTCATTTTCTCTAAAGAGGCCGGCCACTTAGAGGAGTTTTAGCTAGCAATCTATTCTTCTCTAAGTCATCCATTTCATCTTCACAATCACATCCTTGGTGAAGAGAGTTAGAGACATCAAACTTTTGGTGTTTTGGAGAACAAATCCTCAAATCCTCAAATAAGCAAAGGAGCACTAAAAGGAGGAAAATCACAAGGAAGATCCAAGGAGCAAGGAGGTGACTTGAAGGCCCTCCACTTGGGTGAATCCCTTGTGTAAACAAGGATGAGCTTCAAGGGTAAAGAAACTCTAAATCTTACTTTCTCTTTAAATGTTGTTAAAGGGTTTATTGGTTCACCATATACTAGGCTTTGAAAGTCATGGGTTTTATGAATTGTTTTTTAATGCATGCCTACTTTGAAGTGTTAATAGTTTGCATATGTATTCAAATGGTCTTACATGTTCTTAGCTAGGACAAAAAATTTTCCTTCAACTTGATCTTGAATCGGACGTGATTTCTTTAACTTGGTGACTTGATCTTTAAGGATTTGATTCAAGGGTGGTGAATCAGCACGTGCAGCTCACAACGCCTATCAAGTCGACTCAAGAATTTGAGGGTCAAAACAAGTCCGCCAAATATAGAGTAATTGCAACCCTGATGATATGAGATACTTTTGCTTTTGAAGAAGTAGCGGATGAATCGACACGTGTTTTGTTATGCTTATTTCCACATGCTTCAATGTATCATTTTCACTTGCCTTATCTGTTCTTCAGGTAGATGTGGTATCTTCTGCTGCCTTGTCTATTTCCCCGGCAGAGCAATGCTAGGTAAGCAATCAGGGAAGTGTTTCAAGTAGTCGGTTCCTGACTAGGAGTTTGACTTCAAGTTCCAACTGATTGCTCTCTTTCTTCTTGTCTTGCAGGTAAGAACAAGGACAAGGAAAATGACATTGAGAAAACATGATATGTGATACTCTTGCTTTCGAAGAAGTGGTGGCGATTTGACAGCGTTGCACAGCGAGGCTTTGCTCTTCGGTGATAGCGCTAGCGAAAGGCTTGTTGAAGATTCTTGAGCTCTTTGATTAGGGCAACGATGCCGAGCTTGGATTTGATTTAGACTCCTCCATCTAGGTTATGAGGTTTTGCAGGGAAGGGCGTCATGCTATAATGATATGTTCCGGCTCATCATTGATCCTTCTGCTTCGATCTCTTGCAGTATTTGCCCCTGATGCAGGAGTGGAATGCAACATTTGCATTTAAATGGTCTTTCAGAGCACTACTTCTCAGCGGCGATGAGCACTCGAGATAAATGCCAGGTAAGCAACCAGGCAAAGGTTCCAAGCAATCAGTTCCAAATCAGAAGTTTGATTTCAGGTTCCGACTGATTTCTTTCTTTCTCCTTGTCTTGCAGGTAAGGGTAAGGGTAAAGGAAAAGATAGGGAAAAGCATGATATGAGTTACTCTTTCTTTCGACCCTAGTGATATAAGATACTTTTGCTTTTATGTCATTTGTTTGCAAGGGTATTCCCGGAAAGGAAGAAACTGAGTATTTCAAGAGGCTCTGCTGGGAGTGTACTCTCGGAGGTGAGGAAGGGTTAGGCATTTTTGCAGGTCTGCCTTGCTATGAAGGATGAAGGTCGACATATATAGGAATTTCCCAACAGCCAGTAATGGCACTATTCCTTTCCTTTTGTCAACAACCGTTAGGTAATTGAAACAGTAAGATTCACGCATTTTTTACTTTGTCAGAAATCTTTGACAAGGTTGCCCGTGCTTTCTACAAAGTTGAGGTTGCGTGTGAAGGGTGGCGACAAACTTTCATCCAGCAAATCCAGCTTTTTAAATTCAGAGAGCAGTGCCTCTTCGATCTTTGACCCGGTGGCCTTGTTGCTTCTTCAATTTCTGAACAAACGGCCCGGCTTTTGAAATTCGGGGAAAGGTGCCTCTTTGGTTTTTGAATGGCCATGTTGCCTCTTCGATTTTTGAACAGGCCCTGTTGCCTCTTTTTTTTATAGAGGCATTAATCGTGTTCAAAAACACACTTAGAGAGTTGCTATCTGTTAGGAATTTCTCTCCTTTTGTATTTCTAAGAATTTGATTTACACGACCTCTTCTTCTTTCATCATTTTTGCAAATGGCTTGCCCATCTGATCGTCGTCTTGATTTGAATGTTAGGGAAGAGTCGATATATCTTCTACAGACAACATATGGCACCCATCCTTCTTATCCCCCACCGGTCCTCTTACAGTTGGGGACTCTATGATGAAGAATGACATAACCACTACGGTGGTAGCTAAAAATCTTCTCACCCCCAAGGACAACAGGATCCTTTCCAACCGGTCTGATAAGCTGGCTGTTCAAGACTCTCTGGCTTTCAGTGTTCAGTTTGCGGGCTCTATATCGAATATGGGCCAACATCTTCTTACTTGTACTCGCCAGGTCGAATCCTTGATGGCTGAGGTGGCGAGCCTTAAGCAAGAGATTAGAGGGCTTAAACATGAAAATAGAGAGTTGCACATGCTCACAAATAGTTACTCAACGAGCATGAAAAGAAAGATCGACCAGTTGCAAGAATCTGAAGGTCGGATTTAAAGTGACCATCGGATGTTTGTGGCTTTACTCCAAAGGCACCTGTTACCTTCATCCTCCGGAGCTCTACCAATTGTTGAGGCTCCAAATAATCAACCTCTGGTGCTTGCCTTTTCTGGAGCTCTATCGAGTACTGAGGTGCCACCCGATCAACCTTTGTGAAGGCTCCCTCCTATTTCTTGCCCCCTTTTTTTATTTTTTTTATTTATTTTTACTTATGTAAAGTGTACGTTTATGTAAATTTTGTAGAAAAATCAATAAATGAGCTTTATTTCCCCCATATGGCACTTCCTTTTTTTTTTGTCATTTGCTTTCCACATGTCATCATCACTTATACCAAGTGTATGGAAGTAAGACCCCGTCTTGTTTGCTCATTTTAGGATGTCAATTTTTTAATTGACATTTCCAAATCCACTTTTGGCTTCCCACTCCATTTGGTTGATAAACAAGACAAAAATAAAGGGACCATGTTCCTTGTTTTGGGGAGCAAAGCATATGCTTTAGCATTGGAGCAAAGCAGATGCCTTAGCATTGGGGAAAAGCATATGCCTGTTGCCGTGCTAGATATCAAGTTCCTCAATTCCAATTGTGTATAAATAGGTTCTCCTGTAAGGCTTTAGACAAATATCTTATCCCCATTCCATTTCCTTCAAGTTGTAGAGTGCTTGGACTGTGCTACGACCACCACTGATCACCTCTCCCTAATTTGTAGTGCCTCTTGCCGCTACTTGGAGCTTGTTGCAGTGCGTCACTTTTACCATGTGGGGTTGTGCAAAAGACTGCAACGAGTTTATGCTGTGTAGTGCCTTTTGGACACGACTTTCCTCGGTGGTGACTTCGTCATGCCTCTTGCCGCCGCTCGAAATGACCGTCTTGGAGCTACCCTCTTTGCCGTGCTGCTCAAGTTTTGTGGCTGATTTTTTTTTTCGTTGAGGTCATGGTATTTTTCAAGTGCTTTAAGAGCAGCACCATCACCATTCTTGCGAAGGAAGGCGACTCGCAAGACAGGGGAACGACGTTGAAGCTTTATGTGCCACTGACTGGTCCTAAGGCGCTTGCTCTTCCCACAAAAGATAACTCCATGCTTATTAAGTCGTGGTCTTCTAAAGTATCTTAGGAGGTGGTAGATTATGTTCAACCACCAGATACGAAGAAGAAGGTGTGCATCTCGAGGATTCTTATCTTGAACTATTCGCACCATGTTCGTGACAATCATCTGGCCTCGTCTGAGCTTCTTGGTGATCGTATTCGTAGTAGATTTGTGGCTTGGAGTAGTACCCTGTCGACTACCGGAGGAGCCGCCTTCATTAAGTTTTACTAGGAATGGCTTGAAGATGTTTTGAGCTGCTCCAAAGATGTGCTTACCAACATAGGCCTTTATCATGTTGTATATGCATCTTTGTTCAGTTATGATTGCCATCCTTCCGTCCGTCGTGCATTCTTTTAGCATTGGTGTTCAACAACCAACACACTTCACACGACTCAAGGGGAGATGTCATTTCACTTAAGGATCTTCACAAGATAGGAAGCTTGCCGATCCAAGGAAAATTTTATGACGAGGTTGTTCCTAGTGTGGAGGAGTTTTTTATTGCAACAGTCGAGGATTGCCTACGAGTTGCTGCTATTTGTTTTGGACGTACCATAAGCTTTCCCAAAAGGCCCCGGGTAACTCAGGCGTGAAGATTTCTTCATAGATATGGTTTTGGTATTGGGATGTCATGAAGTACCAGAGGCGTTCGAAGAAAAGTGGTCGTAACAAGACAACCAGGCCTAAAGGAGACTCAATTCCGTCAGGTGTTATTGGTCAAGCTGGGCGCCGCACCCCTATCGAGTTAAAGCTATTTGAGGATCTTGGCGTGGCGTCAGAGCACTTGGAAGAATCTTACCTAGCCATTTTCTTAGCTTGTTGGCTTTGTAAGTTCGTTTTCCCTAAAGACGACATCAATTTCATCCGTCCTGGAGTTTTCAAAGTGAAGGATGATTTTGTGAAAACATGTTCATTTGAATAACATCTATAGCATGCATTTAACAATTAAAAGGTGGGATCATGCTTGCATGCATTCAAAAACAAAACATTACCCATGAAATTCAAAGCCTAGTAGATTGGTGAACCAAGACTCAACTCAAATCAAAGTGAGTTGAAAATATATACCTTTGTAGATTCCTCTTTGCATAAGCAAAGGCTAATCACCCAAAGAGAGGGCCTTCATTCCTTGCATCTACAATCTATGGATTTGGATGGAAGAATAGGTTTCTCCAAGTTCCCAAAATTGAGAACCTCTAAGTCTCCACACCAATGAGAGATTGGAGAAGAAAATGAGTGACCTTGGAGTAGTGGGATTGCTAGATACACCCTCCAAGGGGGCCGGCCTCTTTAGAGAGAAAGGAGAGCATTGTGTTATCTCCAATTTCCTAAAAGAAAACCCTAAATGAATTTTGGCTATAAAGTCATATTTATACCTTTATTCATTGGAGTGGCAAACTTGTAATTAAAGCAAGTTCACTACCCTCCTCTAAATGGCCGGCCATAGGGTTTTGTTTGGGCTTTTTGGGCCTTTGTGAATTAAGTTGTCATACAACTTAAGTCAATGGGCTTGACGTTCGAAGCCCATTGGACCTTAAGGTCCAAAACTATCCCGAGGTCTTTAACGAACTTATTCGTTTAATTAATTAACATATTAATTAATCCTTGCCATAAATAATTAAACCATTTAATTATTCTTACTAATCTCCATTGTTTCTTCAATCTCCACCTTACACGGTGTACGATCCATTAGGTTCCTTTTACCGAGGCAGTGGGCGATTAAAACTCTTTAAAATCGATTGTGAATTGAAACTTACTTTCAATTCTCCCTTTAGTGTTTATACACGTTTAGGGCTTCCACAAACCAAGAGTGATACCTAGCAGCATATCATGGTTACCCAAGCTAATCAGAAGAGGTAGAGAACCTATTCAGTTTAGGATTACAAATGCAATACGGTCTTTCTCTAATACAATACTCTTGACCACATTGTTTGGTTTGATAGTTTATTCATGTCTACTATCCAATGTGATTCGTGTGCTTATATGATTACCTTGAATGTGATTTAGAACGACTTTTCTAAATCTCATTCATACTCTGATCAGAGATTCTTAATCATATCATAGTGTATTCTCCCCCAAACGGTTTGAAGGTTAGAGATCCCTTGTTGCGCATTCACTTGCCTCCATGACTAAGTGGCTTAACCCCAACGATGCCGTGGACACCCCGATGGGGTGACTTTGACATAATCAAAGATCAAGGACTTAACCACAAGACAACTGTGATGCCTCAGGTCAAAGGACTACTTTGCATTATCCCAACCATGAGTTCTCATGTGACATGAATATGAGAACTCTTCGTTGATCATGTTCAGTGAACTCATTCTCTATTGAGCACCTACGTACTTGTCTTGATGTCACACACACCAATGACTCGAGACTAGTCACTCTCCCTTGGACTTATCGTTTAAGCATATAACATTTATATGAGACGGCTCAAACAATAATCTTTGCCCTTGATATTAAACTAGATTAGTTTAACATGTGAAATGTCCGTAAAGTATCATCATATGATTGGTTTTAGGGCGCATTTCCAACACAAAGTTGCTAGCAAGATGGCTGTAGGCGAATCTTTTAGTCTTGCTATTTCGGTCTTAGTCAACATTTACAATGGCTTGGGTGTTGTTTCGAACTCAGCCAGCACTAAAGATTGTGCTGCGGTACTTCCCTACCACTACATGTATGGTTGGTTAGGTGAGTACTTTGGCACTCATTTTTCTTCGTCAACTTTAGACAAGTCAGGGCATTCTTCACCGACTTCAGTTAAGATGGGGCCTTTGATGATGAAGTATTTTGGTGTGTTTCCTATGAAGGGCCTTGATGATTTGCAGGTACAAGCGCTGTTTAGAAGTTATGAAGGCTTGAGGATGGATCACCTGGCGAGAGTGGGCTCGGTGCGACGAGGCATTATGGATGATTCGCATATACGCTTCTCGGACTTGTCTTATCTTATAAGTCTTCGCTCAGGCTATGTTTCTCTGCGGCAAGAGGCAAGAAGATTAATGCATCGTTCAGCCGTATAGTCCTCACTGTTTTAGCAGGCAATTTGGTTTTGTCCAAAATGTGCTAGGCAAACTGAAGGAAAAAGCCCGATTGGAATCCTTGCAAGCCGTGTATATGCATTGAGAATATTATACCCATGCATGTACAAATGCTTTTATCACCCTGTCGGTCAAAGATGAGTTCAAGAACAATTTGGTGACCCGTGCTTATGTAAATTGGTGGTCAAAGGTACATTATGAAAACTAGGGGCTAACATGTGGTACCAATTCTTCTTGCTTACGTAATGATGCACCGAGAAAGGGTTGTTTTGTGATTCCTACATAGTTGGTACCGCTTTATTGTGCGAGTGTAGCTCATTTGCAAAATGGACATGTGGTTTTAGTTCCTCAGTGCCGTGCTTGTCTCCTCAACATCCGGATGCATATGAAAAGGCGGGTGATGAAGTTGATTTGTACAAAGATGGATTTGTTTTGCAGCAGCGTCAAGAAATTATAAACAAGCGACCACTTGAAGGTGCTTAGGCTGATAGCGACGTCAATTTTCATCATAAGAAGAAAGAAGAGTTTAGGCCTTCTCAATTTGGTGGTCGTGTGTCACTTGATAAAGATGTACATATTCATTTCTTTATTGTGACTTACTTTGCTTTCATTGTTTTAGCTTTGATTTCTAACATCTTTTTTTGTCTTGTTTAGGCTGGGCCTTTTTATTCTTTTGATCTGGTGAACGCAAGCGTTCATTCTTATATGGATATGATATTTGAAGGTAATTTACCTACAGACAGAGAGATTGGGGATCCGCCTGGTGCAGAGCTTGTTCCGAATCCACCAAGTTGGCCCGATTTGTCGTGTGTAGGTGAAGGTATGCAAGGGCCCGTCATGCATCCAATACCTTTGCCAGCTAGCTCTGAGATCTCTTTAAGAGGGCCAAACATTCATGGAACTGAGCAGCTTATCCATCACATCAGACTTCATGCGGCTATGGATGTCAAAAGCCATATTGAGGAGAGGATTTCAAAGTACCCATTGGAAGACCTTGCATTGCTCAAGGAGGAATTATTGGAGTTTGTTTCTACGATTGATGACCTTAAAGTTGATTCCTCACCCTTGAGAGTTCAAATTGCCGAACTTATGGCCGCCTCGACTGAGTATTCTTCCATGTGTGCTATTTCCTCGAAAAAATTGAGTCCAGATGTTAGAGCTCAACAACTTGCGGGAATATACTTATCAATTTCCCAAGTCTGGTCTTCTCAGCAAGCTGCTTCAAAAGATTATCAATTCATAGGAACCTCTTTAGCTTCCGTCCAAGTGCATCTGGAAGCGTTGGTGCGAGAGAGAGAGCAATTGGGAATCGAAGCATCATGACTTGAAGGTGTTCTTTTGGAGCAGGAAGCTACAATTTCTCAGTACCAAAAGGAGATGTCACACCTAGAACAAGAGAAATGTATGGTAATGGAGTCGCCCACCTTGTCTCCTACCGATGTGGAGACTTTGAAGATTTTGGAAGGCCTGCTTGAGGATGGTTGCCGTAGTTTTAGGGACATAGTTTGTTGGGTTTTTGGCTCAAAATTAGGATGATGCAATAAATTAGGTTTGTGTTACCTATTTGGTTTTGGTGTTCTATTTGGGTTTGGATTTGACTTCCTAGTTAGTTTCCTTGGTGGAGAGATTTTGTTAATTACCTATTTGATTAGGATTAGGATTTATTTCCTATTAGGATTCTTATTGTAACCTAAGTCCTATGCACCATAACTAGGACCTTAGGGTTAGTGTATTTAGTGTGCCTCACCATGGCTTAGAGAGTTTTCTCTAATTGGGTTTTGGGGTGGAGGTCACCGTTTGGAGTCATGAGTGTATGGCAAATTCATGGCTTATTCGTTTGGCAAATTTGGTGAGAGTCAATTTGTGAGTTTGTGAGTTAGAGAGAAATTTGGGAGAATTAAGGTTTGTAATCTGTGGGATTTGAGTTGTGAGAGTTTAAATACTCTTGTGTAATCTCCATTTGTTTAGTGAAATTCCTCGCATTGCTTCGCCTGTGGACATAGGCTTTATGCCGAACCACGTAAATCTCTTGTGTTAGTTTGAGATTGTTTGTTTTAACTTTCGCCTACAACGTTAATATTGGTACTTTGTTAGAATTCGCTTCCGTTTGCGCATAAAAGTACAACATAGTTCCCAAGTAATGTCTTCCTTAAGCCTTCTTTGCTTCTGATCATTTTTTTTGTTGTAAATAAAGCTTTGTAGCCAAATCCTTCCTTTAAAGAAATAAAGTATTCACATATTGAATTTTCTCTTTATTCCTCAAAGTGTTTGTGTTTTTGTTGATAATGTGACTGTACTTGAAGTTTTGAAGTTTCAAGTTGCCTACGTACCCTCAGTTGAAGAGGGATCAAGTCATGACGTAGTTCAAATGCATATATATTTTTTTTTATGCTGTACGCAATTTATGCTCTTGCGGGCCAGGAACATGGTCCGTTTGTTTTAAGGTAGCGCTTCAA